GAAGCAGGCTCCCCATGAGGAGGAGTCTGATGTGGGACTCGATGTCAGGACTCTGGGATCATGCACTGAGCTGAAGGTAGATGCTCAACCACTGAGCCACCCAGATGTCCCTTTAAGGTTTCAATTGTAATCTTTAGAATGTGTAAAAGTCATGTCATAAATACCTTTTAATTCATAATAATAATTGTGTGTTTTAATAAGCCCTTTTTTGCCTATGAAGCCACCTGTTCCATGCTTCCTAATCCTATTTATTCACTTATCTTAATTACTCATGATCACAATGATGCTATTCTTTCTGTTGTACAGATGAGTAAACTGAAGTACATAGAGGTTAAGTAACTGGCTCCAACTCCCACATTTCATCAAGGGGCAGAGCTGGAATTTGAATCCAGGTTTTTTCTAAAATTTCTGCTTTTCATCAGTATGACATGTCCTTATCCTCTCATGGTGTTCATAGTGATCTGCCTGGTGCTGAGAGGAGAGGCAGCACTGGAAAATATGCACTGAAGGTTAAAAACCTGAGCTGAACTAAAGTAATTGCTACCACCTGCATGCCATGTAGACCTCTCACCCTTACCCATGTATCTCTGTCAGCCTTTGAGAGATTCCTTGGTTGCCTGGTGAGATTACCTGCTCTGGTTGTGGCAATAAGTTTAAAATACAGATATTTAATTTCTGTAGTATTTTGATTTAAAAATGCATTTATTGCTTGGTAGAATGAGGCTGGTTCCTCTTTTCCTCCCTGGAGTTCTTTGTCTCAGGAAGCATGCCACTCTGGATTCTAATAGATTGTAATGGCTGGCAAGTTATAATCCTAGCTGGGGTATTGTGAGGCTGGAGAAATTTGGGGAGTTGCTGAAGAGATGCATAGTAGTAACAGGACTTGAAATACAGCTGTAGAGATGAAATGATCATGATCGTTAAACTCTTCCTTTCCCACAAATTCTATCAAGTCATTCCCCCCAGGACAGAAAAAAAATTGATAGTATTAGATAAAGAAACCAAGCGGTGCTTGTATACAAGTATACAAGCATAGTATACAAGTATAGTATAGCACAAGTATACAAGTATAGTATACAAGTATAGTATAGCACAAATACTATAAATGGAACAGTGCAGAGAGAATGAATATGACCCCTAGTCAAAGATGACACCCAAATTTGTGAAGCATTTCTGTTTGTTAAATATAAGATTGTAAGGTATTTGTTTTTCACCTTTGTTCAAATTCTGAGCTTATTTCTCTCCAAATTAGCAGATCTATATTATTAGTTTCCACAATGCACTACAATTAATGTAGAAATTTACAAGTAATATACCAAACAGATAACATAGAGATAAGGCCTCGACCATGTCCACAGCTATAGGAACAAAAGATAAAATAAAAAAATAATAGTTAAATGTTTCTGCCTTCTTTGGTTGGTTCTTAAATGATAGAGAAAAAATTGTTAAAAATGGCAAAGAGAGGACATCAGAAAGGCAGCATGCTGTTGACAACAATGGAGAAACTGGCAAGAAGTGCCGATGCACATGGGAAGACAATTCAGTTGTAAATATGCTACAGTTTTGTCTCCGGCAGATATCCAAATGCAGCTCCCAGTGAGAATTCAGATAGTCAGTAGCTGTACATGTGGAATGGTGATTGAAGCGAGGAATGTGAGCAAGCTGAGGGAAAAGGCAAGCACCAAGAGCTGACCATCACTGTGGTGGGGTTAGAGGAGTAGGGAGGGCAATCCAAGTGGAGGGCAGGAGGAGAAAAGGTGTCACTAAGCAGGTGTGAGAAAAAGATGTCTTCCCACTCAGAAGACAGGGTCTGGGTAGCAAAGGAAGTAAGACTTGTAAGTTATTAGGAGGAACAGATGCTACAAAGAGGATTCAGAGGACTTCACCTTGGAAAGGATGCCATTTTAGAAGAGTAGATTCATGGGAAAAGTAAAGACAGAAATCACAATAAAAAGCTTAAAGAACAAATGGAAATGGTAATTTGGATGTAGTTACCAAGGATGTAGAAAATCTGACTGAGAAGCTTAAGAAAAGGAAATAAAAAGAGTTGGTAGTTCAAAGGGATCAAGAAATGTAAACTTAGTGAAGTCTAGTGAAAACCACTTTCATGTTATTAATAGATCAGAGTAGAGATAGTGGGATGTAAGAATCTGAGGTGGCTCAGTATTTATCTCTGCAGAGTTCTAAACCAACTAAGAGAAATCAAAAAGCCAGCAGGTGAAAATAGAAATATAAAATAGCAGGATGCCTGGGTGGCTTAGTGGTTGAGCATCTCCCTTCGGCTCAGGATGTGATCCTGGAGTCCCAGGATCGAATCCCGCCATTAGGCTCCTTGCATGAAGCCTGCTTCTCTTCCCCCCCTGCCTGTGACTCTGCCTCTCTGTGTCTCTCAAGAATAAATAAATAAAATATTTTTAAAAATATATAAAATAGCTATGTTTAAATATTTTAAAATATTTATTTAAATAATTAAACATTTAAAATATTTTATAATATTACTGATGAAGCTTGTTAATGGAGACCATGGCTTTGTTATGTGGCAAGAGTAAACATTTTAATACTGCTCTTCCCAGAATAAACAGATTTACTGCCCTTGCCCTCAATCACATCCAGTATAGACAGCTGCACATCCCCACCTAGGGGACAACTCCTTAAATCTTACATCTTATTGGAGAAGACCAAACAATATCATTTCTCTGGTCTTCTGATTCCCCAAGGGAAACTGGGAGAGAGAAAGGGACAGAGGTGCACAGTCCAGTTCTTAGTAAGTAGAATCAGTCCCACCTTCAAGAGACTTGAAGAAGGGCGGGGAAGACAGAATGGGGGAGGTTTTTGTTTTTTGTGTTTTTTTTTTAAGATTTTATTTATTTATTCATGAGAGACAGAGAGAGAGAGACAGAGAGAGGCAGAGACACAGGCAGAGGGAGAAGCAGGCTCCATGCAAGGGAGCCAGATGTGGGACTCGATCCCGGGACTCCAGGATCCGACACTTGGCTGAAGGCAGCGCTAAACCGCTAAGCCACCCAGGCTGCCCAGAATGGGGGAGTTTTGAGGACAGTTTCTCCTCACAGAAATCAGAAAAGGGGGGGGGACATTTCCCAGTATTCCTCCTCACCACTACCTCCAATCTCCCCAAAAAATATTGTGGAGTAGAATTGTTTAAGATTGATTAATTAATTGATTAAGTAATCTCTCCACCCAACATGGGACTCCAACTCAGGAACCCCAGATCAAGAGTCACATGCTCTACCGACTGAGCCAGCCAGGCACCCCAGAAATTTTTACCAAACATAATAGAGAGGCTCAAACTTGCTGACCAAAGCCAGTGGAAATTGGAAATTCATAAGATTTAAAATTTTAGCCTTAAAAAATAACATTTGAAATTTCACAAAGTTAAATTGGCTGATGAGCAATCCTCACTCATTCAACTATAAAAACTTAGATAAACATAATTTGAAGTGATGATTTAATAGCTCTATCTGCACTTCAAAGTGTGCCTCTCCCCTCTATCTTCTCCAGCTTCTTTGGCAGTAAATTATTTCCGTTCCCCTTACCTAATTGGCCACCAGATGCAGTGAGTTCTGTTTTCAAAGTCCACAGAAAGTCTTAATGATTTTGTCTGCTTTACTTTAAGTTACTTCTTGCACGTTCATGCTCCAGAGTATGAACTTGCTGAAGTTTCATGAAAGTGGCTCACCATTTGTTTTAGAACATGCTGGGTGGGTTTTTTTTGTTGTTGTTAGTTTTTTTTTTTTTTTTTCTGGAAGGTTGGTCTTTTTCTTCGCATCCAGATCTCTCATTCTATCCTGATGGTTCATGCCATCCTTACCCCTCACTATATCTGGTAGAAATATCTGACTCAAAGCTCTTGTACCAAGCTGCTATACAATGCTCTTTCCCAGAAGGTACTCATTTATTTCAAGCTCTGTCTAGAGCTGACTTATCCAGTAAGCATAGTGCGCATAGTGCCCAGGGCCCATGATACTTTCAGGAGTCCATGAAAATGTTTAATTTCATTTTAAATCAAAAGAAAAAATAAACTATTAGATAGACTACTATTCAGCCATAAAAAAAGAAAGAAAGAAAGAAAGAAAGAAAGAAAGAAAGAAAGAAAGAAAGAAAGAAAAAGAAAGAAAGAAATCTTGCCATTCATAATGACATGGATGGAACCAGAGGATATTATGCTAAGTGAAATAAGTCAGTCAGAGAAAGACAATTATATGATCTCACTCATACGTGGAATTTAAGAAATAAAACAGAGGATCATAGGGAAAGAAAGGAAAAAATAAAACAGGACTAAATCAGAGAGAGAGGGAGACAAACCCTAAGAGGTACTTAATCGTAGGAAACAAACTAAGGGTTGCTGGAGGGGAGGTGGGTGGGGGAGCTGGGGGAAAAAATAAAATGTCTGCATTTCTGTTCTTAAAAAATTAAGTAAATAAACAAGTAAATAAAAATAGAAAAAGAAAAAAATGAAGTATTCTAAAAGTTAAAAGGCAGAAAGGAAACTGCATTTAAAGAACGTGTACAAAGGAGGGAGCTACAGATAGAATTTTAACTACATGAATGCAATTGTTTTTGTATTTGAGACTTCTGATATATACTAATATAAATGATCATATTCATTAAAAATTGTATTATACATAAAAAATAAACCATTAGGCCAAAAAATGTTTTAATATGTAATAATATATTTACTCTTATATCAACAGTTGTAAAACATAATCTATATGAATATGTATGTATCTATATAAACATACACACACCCACACACATAGATACTATTTTTCTCTTGACAGAAGAATAAGTCCATGAAGGGAAAGGGGCTTAAGGCCCATGAAAGTCATAATCTGGCCCTGAAGAGTCTTGAATTTATTTTTAAAAAATTTTCAAATGACCAATTTTGTATTCAAAAGCAGGCTAGAAAAGTAGCATCAAAAAATTGAGGAAGAACCAATTCAAACCAAACATAACTAGTCATCATAATCTTTTTTTTTAAGTTTAGAGAAAGAAGAAGAGCAACAATATCTTTCTTCAAGTTATATTAACATCTCCACTGATTCATTGCAAGGTGGCAAGAAATATTTGGTTTGGGTTCAAGCTGCAAATGCATTGGGCATGGAGAAGTCAAAACAACTGCAAATTAATCTGGATGATATAGGTAAAGGATGAGAAATAGTATCTTTACAACTAAACAGCTAATTTGTGCTGACCTAGTCAAATGAAGATCTGAGTTCCCCTGAAGTTCCTGTAGGTCATGACACAGAAAACAAGAGTTACCTATAATTGACCAGCCTGAGACAACTCAAAGATAAGTACTGCTACCACTTTTTTGTATATCCTTCCAGTCTTATTTCTACATGGGTGCATCTGGTTTTATACATATTTTTTGAGACCTTCTTATGTTCAAGCATAAGGAGAGTAAGATAAGCAAGGTATCTGGTGCCCTAAATATCCAGGGAAAATTACCAGGGAAAATGGAATTAAAGAAAGATTATAATAAGCTGTGATGAGTCTTACATTGTGAGAAGTAGAGCATACTAAAGAATTCTACGTATATACTATTTTGGAAGTTATGTGTTTTTTTTAATTTAACAAAAAAAACATAAAAAATGCTGAATTATGTAGACATCTCTATTTTTACCAGCCAGGTTTCACAAATGTTAACATTTTATGCTTCAGATATTTTAGACCTTGCCTTCTAAAACTTATAATATAGAATAAATATTACTATTGATTTAATCTACAATATTATTTTTAATGAATATCTTTAATTAGTCCCTTATTGTTGGGGATTTAGGCTGTTTTCAAATTTTTACCAACATAAACTATACTGCCATAAACAACCTTTTGGATAAATTTTTTCATAGTAGTTGTCTTCTTTTTCCTTTTTTTTTTTTAAGATTTTATTTATTTATTTGAGAGAGAGTATGTACAGGAGTATGGGGTAGGGAGAGCCAAAGGCAAATGCTCAACCAACTGAGCCACCCAGGTGCCCCTTAAGATAAGATAAAATTTTCCTTAAGATAAATTCCAAAAGGTAATTGCCCCTGAGCCTTTGACAGCAGCTACATCTCAGTCCTAAAACCAAAGTTTATCCAAAGAGCACCAAGTGAATTATCCTCTATTTGGATATCATAGTGACAATTATTTCTGTTTTTATTATTAAGGATGATTTCAGTAAGCTCACAGTTATGGAGCACTTTCTTCAGTGCTAACTGCTTTTACATGACCATGACAAACCTACTTTGTAGAAGAGATTATAATTTCTACTTAAAGGAGCCAAAACTAGGTGGCATTAAAAAATTTGAGATTGGGGAGCTAGGGAGCTCTAATTCCAATATCAACTTCTATCTTCCGTCTTTATTTAAAAGTATGTTGCTATGTGTCTGATAACTTCCCTGCTGATTAATGATGTAGGGGCTTCATCGGAAGGTGATGTGACACCTTCTCTTGAAGTTGAACATGGATTTCCTTTGGGGACAACTGGGGTCTTTTATTGGAACTAATATCTCAGTTCTCAACTTTTGTTTCAACTAAACTCAACTATTCCAACTAACTGGATTGATCCAAAAATTCTGTCCTTATGCTCTGAATATGTGATTTGAAAACAAACACTGCTGACTCTGGTGATGCATTTCACTGTGTTATATATTTTTGGAGTTATAGTTCTCTTGACCATGTTACATGTGTTTTTGTAAATTTACAGTTTGAGGTAGGATGTCATAAAATGCCTTTTTCTTATAACAGTTTTCTCTCAGTGGATTAACGATGTTTAAAGTCTACCTGTATCATTTTGGCAATATCATTTTTAGAACTAAATTATTAGTAGTATTACTGCTATTATTATCTTTGTGATCTTATGATCTTACTATCATCACCATTTATCAAATGCCTACAGTGTTCCAGACAATTAACATGCAAATCACACTTAATTCTGGAAACAATCATACATGGTACTACTGTGCCCATTTTACAGATAAAGAAGAAAGAGAAATAATTTGCTCAAGGTCACACAGCTAGTAAGGAGGAGAGCTAGATTTTATTCCAGGCCTGCTAACTTGCAAAGGTTAATCACCATCCCACCTCCCACAAAGGGAAAAATCTCATCTGGCCATCACCACCAGATCTGACTTCTCACACTGTGAAGCACAGAACCTCGTGTTTGGAGTTGTTATTTCATGTCCTTTTTTTTCTTTTCCTTTTTCTCTTCTTTTCTTTTCCTTCATTTCTTTCTTTCCTTCTCTCTCTCTTTTAAAAATATTTTATTTATTTATTTATTTATTTATTTATTTATTTATTTATTTATGAGAGAAAGAGAGAGAGAGAAAGCATGAGCAGGGGGGCAGGGAAGGGCAGAGGGAGAAGCAGACTCCCCGCTGAGCAGGGAGGGGATGCAGGGCTTGATCCCAGGACTCTGGGATCATGACCTAAGCCAAAGGCAGACACTTAATGGACTGAGCCATCCAGGCACCCATTTTATTTTATTTTATTTTATTTCTTTTCTTTTCCTTTCTTTTTTAAATCTCAAAACAGATTCTTAGAAACTCAGGTAGAAAAACACAGGTTGACTATGTAGGAGGCTCCATCCAATAAAGCACCAGATAATTAACGGATGAGTTACACTCATTTATGACACTTTAAGAATGAGATATTGCAAGTTAGATAAATGAACTGTTCTATGAAACTGAGAACAGAGGACCCTCCTGAGAACAACTACAGGATTGGGCTTTAATTAAGTTAGGGAGGCTATGCTGAAAGGCAAGCCTGAGTTAATAGTACAGTAATACTGTGCCCAAGTGGCTGTGAGATGGATGCTTCAGCTTCTCCTGTGAAGAAATAAATGCCAGTGCAGAAAGTGCAGTGCTTTCCAGCTGCATTTTGAATGTTAATTCTCACATAGGGAAAAATATGTTGTTGGAAAGATACCAAATGACAACAGATCTGGTTCTTCATTTCAGTACAAGTGAAAACTAAACACATGGCCTCCATGATGATATGACAGCTTTTTAAAAACCTAAGATATGATGGGAACATTTGAAACCTAAGCAATGAGAGCAAACATTTAACATTTGAGTCATTTAACAAAGTACATAGTCAGGTATTTATTATATAACATGTTTATTTGAAATCATATGAGGTCATACAAACGTAAAGGCTCAGCTCTCTGCTGCATTGACCTGCCCTGTGCTAAGACTCTATCTTAAATCTGACTTACTGTTCCATCTATATTTCTCATAGGCCTAAACAGACTTTTGTTTCTGCCCCAGAATATTTCTTTCTCAGGAACGCTTGTGCTACTCTACCAATGGCAGGCTGGACTCTGAGATGAGAGTGAAGAGTGGGTGGGTAATTTAGCCTGAGGGTGCTTAAATGGTCCCAAGTGGTCTCAGAGCCCTGGGAAACACTTCTCTGACTATAGAAATCTGCAATATTGATCCTTATTACAAGAAGCTTACACTAGCAAAGGAAATCAACTGTGACATCCAGATGATAAAAGTTCAGTACAGTAAGCTCTTCAATTAAACTGATTTTGCTACTACTTCTTCTGATGTTATCTTTAGCCCAATGATTCTATTATAGGACTGTACTACTAAATAGCAAGTTTTTAATTTTTGTATTTCTCTATAAATCATATACCTGGGCATATAATTTAGATAATAAATCATTAATAGTAAAACAATCATATTCCTAAAGAATACTTAGCCACCTAGAATAAATGAAAAGGAAACTAATTCATAGAGAATATTAAGCTATAATAATAGTCCTTAAAAACACATACATAGGCTCCTTAGTTCTTTGTTAAATAATATGTCTCACAAAGTCATAGGCTTTCTTTTTTTAAGATTCTACTTATTTATTCATGAGAGTCACAGAGAAAGAGAGGCAGAGACACAGGCAGAGAGAGAAACAGGCTCCATGTAGGAAGCCCAATATAGGACTTGATCCTGGGACTCCAGGACCACACCCTGGGCCCAAGGCAGGCGCTGAGCCACCCAGGCATCCCCAAAGTCATAGGCTTTCATTGTTCTGTCATGCACATAGGAGAAATGGGAAGTGCCAATGATTTTATTCTGTTCAGACAGAACAAACATACAAGAATTAATACAATTTAGAAATACAGGGATCCCAGTTATATCATTATTCCTAGTATAACAAAACCAATAGTAAGATAACCTATCAGAATTTCAGTTTCCTTTTGAAAATTATTATCACAGAGCATGGCAATAATTTGTAAAGTCTTAGAGTCTTGTGAGACTTGCTTACTTGCTTTGTTCAATCATACTTGCAATTATTTTAATAGATAACAAAATAAGTTAGCAATAGATTTAATTATTCATGTTTCCCTATGATATAAGAGAATAAAAATATTATTGTGAAATGTCTCAATTTAATATTTTATCAAATCAGACTCCCTGAACTAAATTTAGAATGCAAAGCATCATTTTCCCCTAAACAAATGCAGGAAGAGACATTTCCTTTGTCTCTTTTTCACTCTCTTTTGTTAATTAGGCCAGGCTTTGGAATTTCATTAGCTAGGATTATAAGGGAATAGGAGGTAGGGGAAAGGTAGACTCTAAGAATCTCATTTAAAAGAAATGGAAAATAGGTTGAATAGAATTTCACTTAGCAGCAGTTTTCTCCTATATAATAGCTTAGAATGTAAGAAAAAAATCATTTTAATTGTTAATTGGATCATGAAATTGTTTTTTAGTATTTTGAGTTTTAACATGTCTATATATTGATGAAAATATATTGATTTCTCTCAAGGCAAGTTTTAAACTGCTGATTTTTAACTTATTTATTTTTCTAGTGATACCTTCTGCAGCTATCATCTCCAGGGCTGAGGATATAAATACTACAGTCCCCAAGACCATAATCCACTGGAATAGTCAAACAACAATTGAAAAGGTTTCCTGTGAAATGAGATATAAGACTACAACAAACCAAACATGGAAGGTAAGCTAACTTTCACTATTCTTTAGCATGTAAGTGAATGGAATAAAAGCCAACCCACAGTGGATTCATGATGATCTATTTTACATGTTTTTATCTATTTGTCTGATACTCAAACCACTCTAGCTTGTTGGGTTTATGTAATCTCTATGCCCAACGTTGGGGCTCCAACTCAAGGCCCCGAGATCAAGAGTTGTATGCTCTACCAACAACCAGCCAAGTACTCCTTATACCACTCTGTGTGTTTTTTTTTAAGATTTTATTTATTTGTTTGTTTATTTGAGAGAGTGAGAGTGAGTGCATACACGCATGCAACTGGGGGAGGGGCAGAAGGAGAGAGAATCTCAAGTAGCCTCTTGCCCTGAGTGCAAGCCGGACACAGGGCTCGATCCCACAACCCTGAGATCATAACCTAAGCCAAAGTGAAGAGTCAAGGCTTAACTGACTGAGTCACCCAGATGCCCTAAATGACTAGTTTTAATCATCATTATCATATGCTTCCCGAAAGAGAGATATTTCCTGAAAATGTCTTCTTACCTTTTGTAAGTTGCTAAGCAGACAAATGTCCAACTAAGAGGGACCCAACTATTTGCGTCCTTGTAATTCAGTACCTCCTAGGGTGAAATTTACATCAGTGATGATATATAAAATGTGAGGATTCTATGCTGAAATTTAAAGGCATCTAGGGTAAAAACTTCAAAAAGAAGAACTTCAGTATTATGAGTCTCTTTTTAAATTAAAAACGCAAGTCAAAATATAAGATTTGTTACTAATATAGACCTCAGTCTTATGAGGCTAAGGTAAAAAGTGAATGTCTAGACAAACTAACCATCTTTAAATATCAATGATAAGTTACTATCTGATATGGAGAGGCATAGGTAGAAGGTTCATTAATGAAATCACATCATGTCATAGCACCTGTGAACATTATAATAAAAACTGATTTGAATTGTGGAAGGATACTAGTCTCACTGGAGAAAAAGTTCCAGTTTTTGGTGTATTTGAAAAGAAATGTCATTTTATTATTTTCAAGTACAATAAACTGCCATTTAGTCAAACTAATCAAGGAGTGGATTTTCTGGCTTTGCTTAATTAAGAGTTATGTATCGTGAATAACATCTGTTTTCAGAGAGTTAAATACAATGATATGTATTTAACACTAATCTTTGATGGTTAGTGTGCTCCAAAGCTTTCTACTCCTTCATCATCCTGAATGTCAATTTTGCTGCAGAGCAATGTGTTTAAAGAGTATCAAGAAGATGAGGATAAAACTATACTGATTTTATGACATACTTTAAAAATGTATTCTAAAAATAAATTCCTGACATTAACTTGCTTATTTACCCCTGTTCATTTAAATCAGAAATGTGATATGAACTTTACGGTTTAGATTACATTTAGATGAGACAGTCTTTCTTCCAGTGGATCGTCTTTCCTCCTTTATCGAATATTAGTTGACCATAAAGTTCAGGGTCCACTTCTGGGTTCTCTATTCTGTTCCATTGATCTATGTGTCTGTTTTTGTGCCAGTACCACACTGTCTTGATGAACACAACTTTGTAGTACAACCTGAAATCTGGCATTGTGATGCCCCCAGATATGGTTTTCTTTTTTAAAATTCCCCTGGCTGTTTGGGGTCTTTTCTGATTCCACACAAATCTTAAAATAATTTGTTCTAAGTCTCTGAAGAATGGTGCTGGGAAAATTGGACATCCACATGCAGAAGAATGAAACTGGACCACTCTCTTGCACCATACACAAAGATAAACTCAAAATAGATGAAAGATCTAAATGTGAGACAAGATTCCATCAAAATCCCAGAGGAGAACTCAGGCAACACCCTTTTTGAACTTGGCCACAGTAACCGGAGAAGGACAAACAGTGTATGTTCTCATTCATTTGGGGAATATGAATAATAGTGAAAGGGAATATAAGGGAAGGGAGAAGAAATGTGTGAGAAATATCAGAAAGGGAGACAGAACATAAAGACTTCTAACTCTGGGAAATGAACTAGGGGTGGTGGAGGGGGAGGAGGGCGGGGGGTGGGGGTGAATGGGTGACGGGCACTGAGGGGTACACTTGACGGGATGAGCACTGGGTGTTATTCTGTATGTTGGTAAATTGAACACCAATAAAATTAATTTATAAAATTAAAAAAAAAGATTACATTTAGATGTGAGCCCATGTTCCACATCATTTGGCCAATTACCTGCTGGACTCACTGACTAAATAGTTATGGCATCTGTGTGGCCAGCAGCTCTATGCTTAAAACCTGGGACAAGCAGGATACAAACAAAACACAACTCCACAGTCACCCCTCTTGCAAATGTGGAAATTAGGTAAATTGGATAATAACCCAACTGAAATCTTTCAAGTCTTAGATATTGAGTCAATAGGATTTTATTCTAATAGGACACCTGGGGCCTTTTGGTTAGAGTCATGATCGTAGAATGATATTGATAATACAGAACTCCCTTATTGGCATCATTAGGAGGAGATTATAGGTTATGAGAATGTTTAGAAAATAGAAGGTAATTATAATATCAGTATCTCTGAATAGGTTTTCAGAAACCGTTTTCTGGTTGAAACTCTTGTTTTCTGCTCCCCCTGCTGGTGCTATTATGCCATTGTGAGACTTGGTAATTCAGAAGCAGGCAAATGAAGTTGCTGAAAGAGTATGTTATCTAACGTTCATAACAATCCTTTGGGATAGGTAAGTATCAGCTCTGTTACAGAAATGAGGACATAGAGATCAAAAGACCTCAAGCTGGGTTTTTCAAACTTACACTGTTAGTAACTAAATGCCTTTCACAGACTCTATATCACTTTGGGCACCCATAGAATATTTGAGAAATTAAAGAACAGGTTTCAATCCAAAATCTGTGTCCTATCCCTTCCACCATGCTTCCTCTAAATACAGCCATTCACACAGAAAAGCATGAATTCCCATTTCTATCCAGATGACCCAAGTCCAGTTAGTAAGATTCAGAATGAAACTTTGATTTTTTTAACATTTGTTACCTTATCAGTTTCATCTGGACCATCCATAAAGTGTTGTCTTTGCCTCCTTGTAGGGAGACAGGAATATAGAGGCAAGAAGAGGAGAAGCTATAAAGAACTACAGATTTGATCTTTTACCTCACCTCTGCCTCCATTGATATTTCTTGAGGGAGGTTCTTTACTTCAAAGAGACAGGCAGCTATGCAGCAAAGCCATGAGCTGAGAGTACAGGCTCTAGAATTTAAAGCCTGGTTCTGCCACTTTCTAGTAATGGGCAAGTTTCTTATCTTCTCTGTATCTCAGTATTCCCATGCCTAAAGTAGGAATAAGACAACCACCTACCTCATGTTGTTGTGGGGATGATCAAACAATGTAAGAAGTTAGTGCAGAGCCTGAAATAGAGCTCAAGTTCAGCAATTACTGGCTGTTGTTATTCTTCATTTTATTTTTTTTAAAGATTTTATTTATTTATTCATGAGAGACACACAGAGACAGAGAGAGGGGCAGGTTCCATGCAAGGAGCCTGACATGGGACTCGATCCCAGGTCTCTAGGATCAGGCCCTGTGCTGAAGACGGCACTAAACTGCTGAGCCACCCGGGCTGCCCTTATTCTTCATTTTAACCTCCAGGAGAGCCATGCAATGAGTCTTGTAGAGCAGAGAAACCCCCCCTGAAAAATCAAAATTATTGAATTAATGTTGCTTTTCATACCGCTTTAACTAAGCTATCTAGACTTCGAGGCAGTGAAGGGAACCAGCCAGTCCTGCAGGTAATCCTGAAGGCTGACACCATCGGGAAAATAGTTATCTACTTGGTTATCTTCATGGGCTAGCTCCTTGGCACCTCAAACTAGTGTTAAAAACTGAGCTTCTTCACCACCAACAATCTTTTTTTTAATTTTTTTTAATTTTTATTTATTTATGATAGTCACACACACACACAGAGAGAGAGAGAGAGAGAGAGAGAGAGAGAGGCAGAGACACAGGCAGAGGGAGAAGCAGGCTCCATGCACCAGGAGCCTGACGTGGGACTCGATCCCGGGTCTCCAGGATCGCGCCCTGGGCCAAAGGCAGGTGCCAAACCGCTGCGCCACCCAGGGATCCCCCACCATCAGCAATCTTCACCAGCAATCCTTGCACATTTCTGCCTACCCCCTCTCAGGAGTATTACCACGTCGCTTATCTATTTACCTGTTTACACCTCTGTGTCTCTATCCTTTAACCATAAGCCCCTGGAAAGCAGGGTATTCTGTAATCATTTTTTTGTATCTCTGTTGATTTTTACAATATGTGGCTCATGTGGATAACATCTGAAACCTTAGCCTTTAATAAGTGCCCAACAGTAGTGATGATAAAGCAGAGAAGTCTTTGCTGTAAATTTAAGAACGTAGATTAATGGTGATTTATTTCTCTAATTAAGCTAGAGCACTGGCAACCTTTTTTTTTTTTTTTGACATAACCTCAAGATTTCATTGTCTTCATAATAAAACAGTGTGAAACAGAACTGGATCACTTGGCCCTTCCTCCCAGTTCAAAATGCTTGCATCTGATAGCCAGCATTTTCTTAGATCTGCAGTTGGGCTCAAAATATTCAAGTCTCAGCACAATCTTCTTTGAAGTTTTAAGTCTTTTCCAAAAAAATTGGCTTCATCTGCCCACTATAGCCACTCTACTTCCTGTCATAATGCCACTTTCCCTGGGCGTAAAGAGAATCCTTGCCCTTCTTGTACTGTGTCACTTTGTGGGGTTGGTGCTTGCGATACTTCTTACAGAAAATTCCATGGGTTTTAGAAACATTCACCATGTTTGCAAGATATTATCAGCATGGAAAGTGGCAAACTTTTTATTCAAGGGCCAGAGAGTAAACATTTTAGACTTTGCAGGCCACAGGCCTCTGACCCAACTCCTCAACTTTACATTTGTAGTGTGAAAGGAGCCATAGACAATGTATAAATTAACGGGCATGGTAAAATTTTAATTTTGGAAACTGAAATTTGAATTTCACATAATTTCCATGAATCACAAAGTATTCTTTTGACTCTCATACAATGATTTAAAAATGTAAAAATGATTCTTAGTTCATGGAGTACATAAAACCAAGCATTTATTCTTTTCCAGGTAAAGGTACACAGTATAGAGTGTGAATAGTACAGTACACAGTACACAGATAGCAAAGGGTCAAACCCTTGACCTTTGCATTTCAAAAGTGTAAATGCTGGTATAAGATGGAAGACTTGGAAGAACTGTGATTAGTCAGGACTGAGTTTCTCAATCGTCACCCCACTTGTCCTCCACCAAACACTAGGTAAAGATTAACTGGGCAGAGATAGGGGTAAGTAGGAGGGTGAAGAGAGTTAGGAAGAGGAACCGATTGTATACATAAACCACATCTTCTTTATCCATTCATCTTTCGATGGACACCGAGGCTCCTTCCACAGTTTTATGCTGAGTGAAATAAGTCAATCGGAGTAGGACAAACATTATATGTTCTCATTCATTTGGGGAATATAGATAATAGTGAAAGGGAATAGAAGGGAAGGGAGAAGAAATGGGTGGAAATATCAGAAAGGGAGACAGAACATGAAGACTCCTAACTCTGGGAAACGAACTAGGGGTGGTGGAAGGGAGGAGGGCGGGGGGTGGGGGTGAATGGGTGACGGGCACTGAGGGGGGCACTTGACGGGATGAGCACTGGGTGTTATTCTGTATGTTGGTAAATTGAACACCAATAAAAAATAAATTCATTATTTAAAAATAAATAAATAGGGATCCCTGGGTGGCGCAGCGGTTTAGCGCCTGCCTTTGGCCCAGGGCGCGATCCTGGAGACCCGGGATCGAATCCCACGTCAGGCTCCCGGTGCATGGAACCTGCTTCTCCCTCTGCCTATGTCTCTGCCTCTCTCTCTCTCACTGTGTGACTATCATAAATAAATAAAAACTTAAAAAATAAATAAATAAATAAATAAATAAATGCAAAAAGCAAAAAAAAAAAAAAAAAGTAAGAGGAACCGAAAGAGTTTAGACAGTGGTAGGTCCCTAAGAAGGGCCCCTGCACCCCGGGTCTTGCCCCAGGTAGGGAGTTGGAGGAAGTGGGGATTAGAGAACTCCCTGACTAGGCTGGTTCCACCCAAGGAGGGAGGTTCCTTCCCTCCACTCAAGGATGCTCCTGGAAATTTAATGTTACTCTAAAAGAAGAGGAAACTCAGATTGATGGAGATTAAGTTCCCATGCCTCACCTCCTTTCAGAATTGAGGCTTTATTTTTTTTTAAGATTTTATTTATTTATTCATGAGAGACACAGAGACAGGCAGAGACATAGGCAGAGGGAGAAGCAGGCTCCCCACGGGGAGCCCGATACAGGACTCCATCCCAGGACCCTGGGATCACGACCCGAGCCAAAGGCAGTTGCTCAACCACTAAGCCACCCAGGTGCTCCTTAACTGAGGCTTTAAATAGAAATTAACTACTATTAAAAAAAAGTCATATTTCTTGTACTTGAGATCATACCCTTCACATAGGTACTCAATTACCTCTCAATGTTTTTTTAGCCTCTGAAAATACCTTGAGGTATCATCTTATATGCTTATGAGACCCTAAGCAGTCACCTGGCTTGCCTCATGGTAGAGACAAGTCTGATAACAATTCTGTAAAATTCTTCCATTTTAGAATTCTAGCTGTGCTTGAGTGTATTCCTCTTCTTCAAAGGGACTTATCTTTAAATGTAATGGCAAGAGAAATATTAGAGAATAACAAATGCCTTCCAAGAGAAGCAAATAGAAGCAGCGTGCATTTGAAAGTCAAATTTTGACTACAAGTAAAATCTTTCCTGGATCACAGGAGACCCCAGATGCCTGTCGATCATATTTACATGGCAGAAAATACCAAGGGCCAAGGGTGGAGACACAGCTTATGGAAACTCTGAATGATACTTTAGATGGCTCATGACATCCCCCAAACACATATTTTCATGGATCTTACATTTTCAATACATTGAACATTTTAAAGATTTATGTTAAGATTGGGTTTTCACAAAAGAATCCCTCAGTGGCCTTTATACTTTGCTTTCTCTCTTTTTTTAAATCTTAACAGTTTTAACTTTCTTTTTCCTAAGTGTCTGGTAACTGTTTCCTCCTGGTTGTTGCCCAAGTGCATTTCAAGGCATGTTTTATAGTTATTTTCAATCATACTTCACTTTTTTTTTCAGTCAATCCACTTATCACAACATACTGAAGGTATGTAATTGCCTTGGTTTCTCTCTCCCATTTAACCAGCTTATCAGAGGGTCATTTTTCATTGTTTTATAGCAAGTCATAGTGCCCCAGAAAATGATTTGTATGTTTAGACATCAGCTGTGTGCATGCTTATCTTCCATTGGGTTTTCATGGCTCTACATTCTTAAATGTTCTATTTTCTCTCTCATACAAGCCTATATATAATAATAGGCTATGTAGAATTGGTGAAAGTCTGCAATAAGGATCAATTTAACAGCTTAATTTATGAATAATTTTTCCAGAAGTCATCATTAGCAAGTGAAATTATTTCATCATTCATGAAAAATTATTGATCTAAATATCCAACTGCAGAGAGAGCAAGAGAGAGATTGAGGAGGTGCAGTGGAAGAAAGTCTGGATTAAAACAATTGCTCTCAGGTCCCCCTTTTCTTCCATCCCATTAAAATCAGCTACTCCAACATTAAGAATATATTACATTTTGGGGATCCCTGGGTGGCGCAGCGGTTTAGCGCCTGCCTTTGGCCCAGGGCGTGATCCTGGAGACCCGGGATCGAATCCCACGTCAGGCTCCCGGTGCATGGAGCCTGCTTCTCCCTCTGCCTGTGTCTCTGCCTCTCTCTCTCTCTCTCTCTCACTGTGTGCCTATCATAAATAAATAAAAATTAAAAAAATTATAAAAAAGAATATATTACATTTTGGACCTTGAGATATAAAACCCTGAGAGTACTGTCAAACGCAAAGCGATGTGTATTTCACTTTTAATGTTAAATAACATGTATTTGATTATTTATGGTCATGTTTTATATAAAGTACCCTATTCTTTGTTTTCCCAGGGTCTAGAGGAGCGCCTGGAACATAATAGGCATATGCCTAATGTGCCTAAATAGAATAATTGTTTTCAAAGCACACTGTATTGTTTCATCATTGTTATTCATTCATTTTAGGTTAAAGAATTTGACACCAATTTTCCATATGAGCAACAGTCAGAATTCTACTTGGAGCCAAACACTAAGTATATATTTCAAGTGAGATGCCAAGAAACAGGTAAAAGGTACTGGCAGCCCTGGAGTTCACCATTTTTTCATAAAACAGCTGAAACAGGTGAGTATATTTATATATTTAATCTCTGAGGCTTTTCTTTTGACCTGTGTCTCTTCTATATATATATATATATTTGCTTCTTGTATCAAAATTGACAAAACTATCATAGAGCAGGTGGTTACATTTAAATTGTCATTTTGCTTTGATTTTGTTAAGGCTGACTACAATTTATGTAATGGTTCTCAAACATTCTTGGGCATAAAAGCCAATTAAAACCACCTGGTATGCATGTTCATTGTCTCTGCTCCCAGAAGGTCTGTGTCCATGGGTCTAAGGTAGTGGGAGTGGGAGGTGCTCAGGAGTAAGCCTTTCTTACAACCATCTGGACTGACGGTGAGGCATATAATTATCTAAGACCTGGTTTTGAAACACATTATTAAGAGTTATGTTAAGCTCTTTAGGCCATTTTGATAAAATATATTCTTCTAAGAGAGCTACAAATCAAATCATATCAATAAATATTGATTACCTACTGTATGCAATCAGAAAGCTAAAACACTTAAACATGGGATTATTTAATTCTCTTCTCAGCAAAATCTAGTTGACCTATTGTTTATCTTTAGATATTTCCCTGCTCTTAAGATTATTAGTTTAATTTTCCATCCATTTACACATGCCATTCAATAAAATCTTGGCTAAATAGACTTCAACAGTAAGCAAATAAAGTGAATCTATTGTAAATAGCATACTTCATAATAAGCTCCCATTAACCTCCTGATGTCTCCCTATTGTAGGTAGCTTATATCCTAGATTGAAATTTTTCTTTTCAGAGCTGAAGCACTTAATTATAATTACACGAGTGTTAATACCATCTTTATTATAATATAGGATCTTGGAACTGAGGTGTTGTTGTTGTTGTTGTTGTTGTTTTAAAGCACTTTAGCATATATTATAAATGTGGATGGTTGCAACCTAAGCAGAGGGAGTGAAAATGGCAGACTAACGAAACAGTTCTTTTGGCGCCCCCTAATGTCCAAATCTTAGAAATGCGTTACCAAGGGAATTAATTGCAATGCTTTCAGTTCCTTTTAATTAAATTTTAAAAAGATTTTATTTATTCGAGAGATAAAGAGAAAGAGTAATAGCACGAGCAAGGAGGAGAGAGAGAAGTAGGCTCCCCGCTGAGCCGGGAGCTCGATGTGGGGCTCCACGGGGCTCCATCCCAGGACCTTGGGATCATGACCCAAGCCGAAGGCATACACTTAACCAAACAACTGAGCCACCCAGTTGCCCCTATCAGTTCCTTTTTAAAAGTTAGTTTTTAAATTAAGATATTCTTTCTTAAGCTCATGCTGCTAAAAATACTTAGGACTTTAGATACCATTTTATAAACAAACCGAATTTAGTTGATAACTCAGTTATTTTTAAATGAAATTTAGAATCGTCTAGCAAGAGGATTCAAGTAGATAACTAATATTTACTTACCACTTGCAGAGTACTACTATGTAAAGGCTTGTTTATCATTACACAACCCATATTTGGTAGTCTACTTGGTATCATTTTACAAATGAGAAAACTGAGGCATGACTTGCTAAATAGCCCATTGCTAGTGGCTAATAGCACCTAAACAAGAACATAGGTTTTCCTAGTCATCACTAGCTCTTAGCAATTTTATCAATTTCTTTCTTTAACCAGTTACCTCAAAGTGAAGGAGCAGCTTCCTAAAGTATTCTACAAGTATAGGAACCACAAATGTCCTCCTTTAAAGGCAAACGTCTTAAACCTCAGATAGAAGAAAATAGAAACCATAGCCACCCTACAATGTGTATAAATGTAAAGTCTTTGTTGCCTCAGGGAAAAATAAATCACTTATGGGCAAAAATGCTAGTTAAAATTTAATATCCCTGAAAACTCGCATCTATCCAATTCAATATGTTAGCTAAGAGGAACCTGAAATTTTTCTTCTGGTACAAATTTCTTCCGAGACACATTAAATGAGAAACGGTGACTATGTGTAGGAAAAGCGCTATTATTAAATTTTTTTGAAAATTTATCTTTTTTGGGGGGCAGCCCGGGTGGCTTAGCGGTTTAGCGCCGCCTTCAGTCCAGAGCGTGATCCTGGAGCGCCGGGATCGAGTCCCACGTCCGGCTCCCTGCACCGAGCCTGCTCCTCCCTCTGCCTGTTTCTCCCTCTGCCTGTGTCTCTGCCTCTCTCTCTCTCTCTCTCTGTGTCTCTCATGAGTAAATAAATAAAATCTTAAAAAAGAAAGAAAGAAAGATTTATCTTTTTTTGTTTGTAAAAGCAATGCAAATTTATTGCAGTATACAACCTGGAAATAACTGCTGTTTACATTTTAATGAATTTAACACTAGTTTTTTTCCTATTCACATATTTTTATTATTAAATTATAATTAACATACAGTGATATATTAGTTTCAAGTGTACAGCACTGATTCAAAATTCTATACATTACTCAGTGCTCACCATGATAAGTAGTTACTATCTGTCATGATACGTTATTACAATATTATTTACTATATTCCCTATATTATACTTTTCATCTCCATGACATTTATTTTATAGCTGGAAGTTTGTACCTCTTAATTCCTTTATCTATTTCACCCATCCCCCCCAACTCCCCTCTGGCAACCACCAGTTCTTTGTATTTAAGAGAGAAGTCGTTTGTTTATTCATTTGTTTTGTTTTTTTATATTCCACATATAAGTAAAATCATAGGTATTTTGTCTTTGTCATTTTTTAAATGATTGATGTTGTGATGTGTATATTGTTTTATATCCTGATTTTCTTACTTAGTCTATCTTGTTGAGTTAAAAAACCTATTTAATGGCCACACAGTGTATGGATGTACTGTAAAACATTGAGTCATTTCCCTATTTCACCAATATCTAGGTTTATCCATTTTTTTCCATTTTCAATAAACTTGAAATAGCTCTTTATATAAACTCTCCTTATGTGTTTAGATCTTATTGAATCAAGACTTAACCACATTTTAAAATGCTTTATGCAAGTTGCCAAATTGCTTTTTAATAAATATTTAATATTAATTGCTTTTTAAAAAGATATCTAGGAAAAGACAGCCATTCATTTAGTCATACATGAAATATTCAAATAGCCTCTACCATGCACCAGTCACTTGCTACGTACTCACAGAATCTCTGTTAACAAAGGAGACAAAGATCTCTGACTTTTAGAGAAGACAGTCGATAAAAGCAATCATAAAAAAATAAATGACATAGCACTATAAATATAAAGGCAGTAAGAATCAAACCTCACAACTGTTTGAATTGTGTCATAATCAAAAAAATTAAAACATACAATTTCTATAATACTTCAGTTAACCAACTTGTTTGATAATGGGGCTTTTGGCCAGCCAATTTTTTCCACTAATTAAAGTTTCATTTATTTATGAAGACAATTCAGGCAATAATGATCCCTCCATGCAGGAATTTGCTATTTTACTCTCTAAAATCCTTATGGATGTTTCACTGAAGTGATTTATCTCAAAGCAATGTGTTTTCAAAATTATGCCTAGATAGTACTGCTGAACAAATCATGCAGTAGATATGGCTTCCCCTGCAGACCCCAGCATTCTTCTGTATCACTTTCCTTGGTCTTTAAAAACCTGATCTCGGGCAGGGGTGGCTCAGCGGTTTTTAGCGCCGCCTTCAGCCCAGGGCCTGATCCTGGAGACTTGGGATTGAGTCCCACATCGGGCTCCCTGCATGGAGCCTGCTTCTCCCTCTGCCTGTGTCTCTGTCTCTGTCTGTCTGTCTGTCTGTCTCTCTCTGTCTCAAATAAATAAATAGATAGATAGATAGATAGATAGATAGATAGATAGATAGATAGATAAAATTTTAAAAAATAAATAAAAATAAAAAATAAAAACCTCATCTCCAAAAAAACAAAAACAAATACCCAAACAAACTCATTTATAATAAGAATTAAGAGATTTATTAAACTTATTCTGTTTTCCTTCCTTAGAGTATTTGGACTTTAATGGAAAGCGAAGTCTTATACTAAAAAAGGAAAATAATAAACCTCAGAATATAATATCAGGCTTAGGAAACACACTGAAGAAGTTTCTCTAGTTTGGAGATTCATATTTTTTATCCTGGTATAAATAGTGTATGCAAATAATAGCACATAAAATAACTTATATTAAATATAATTTACATAGTACACATAATTTAATATATTACATAAATTGTATTATGTTATATATAAAATATATAAATATAAATAATATAAATAAATAATAGCTAACATTTATTGGATGTTTACTATGTGTTTGGTACTGTGGTAAGCATTTTACATATAAAATGTACATATTGTACATATGTACATATTGTTCTTTACTCATCACTAAAGCCCTATAAAAGTTTTATTCCAATTGTACAGATGAAGAAGATGAGGCCCAGGGGCATTAAGCAATTTTGCCATATGTTACAAAGCTGGTAACAGTAAAGCCAGGGCAAAACACATCCTGTGAGATACCAGCAACCTCGCTATAACTTTGCTGGTCTTCCTCAGAGACCTAATTGGGCCCTGTGTCAACCTCCCCTCAGCCATGGAACCAAATCCTCCTTTATACATTAGCTAATAATAAGACAACACTTTTAATGTAATGTTTGTTAGGAAAATGCAAAAACATGAGAAAAGAGGGAACCACAGGATGCTATTGACTAATTTTATATGGGCCTGAATATAAGGTATGGAAGCAGGTTTGGGTTATGGCAATGAAAATAAAACCACAGGAGAGAGAATAGGGAATAGGATGGGGCAGTCTGAGATGAAGACAAAGTATAAGTGGAAAAGGGGATTCTCTTAAGGACAAGACCTCCACTGGGAAATTCATAATGTGTTTTTCCAGCTGGTCTTGGTCCAATAAAATGTCTAGAAAGCAGTACTTCTCAGAGTGGAGTCTGTGGCCCAACTGCACTAGAAAAAATTGGATTAGTTTAAAATGCAGATTGCTGAGCCTCCAGTCAAGTGATACTTCTGAAGCAAAGTGTAAGAACCACTGCTCTAGGGGTTAGAC